CGAATCTCACCTCTCAATAAAGTAGTTACCTACTTTTCAACGAACTCTATCTTTCATATTTACCCCTATTAAACACTCTATAATAAATATAAAATCATTATTAACAGGGGCACTTTTGAAAAAAAAAAGGTAATGATTACACGTCAAAAGATTAAAAATATTTTATACTTTTTAACATCTAACTTCTCAAAAAATATTTTATATTTTTTAATAAAGGGAATAATAAACTGATTTTATAATTAAAAAGCATTCCTGATGTCTCCCAAAAAACAATATTAATAAAGAGAAATGAATAAATTTTAGGTTTTTTTAAAATAAAGAATGAATACTTTTGCAAAGATATTACAAAATAAGCACATGAGGAAGAAGTGTAAATAAAAGACAAATTTTGAAGGGAATATTTTTATATAGTAGGGTGAGTTAAAAATATGAAGGCAAAACAAGAAAGAAAGAGAGAAAGAAAAGAGAAGAGTCCCTACACAAAAATAGCTTTTAGAAAAGGCATGAGATATTGCATGATGAGGAGCACTAGCCTCACTGATTTTTTTGGCATCCATCCTTTTCACTTTATTGTAAAAAAAAAAACATTCGAAATTACTTGAGTACCAAATTTTACTCTCACCCACCCGGCCACCACAACACCAAACCCCAATCCAAAGACCCAAAAAGTAAAAAAAAGGTCCACCGGGAAAAAAAAAAGTGAAAAAGAAAGAGAGAAAAAAAGAAAGAAAGAAAAGTAGGTGGCTCATACTTGTGGAGGAGATTCATAAATGACACAGACAGACAAGAACATAAAAGACCGTGTCTGTGAATTTTATAAGAATGTTTTGTGGGAAGAGGTCACAGCTTTGGAACCTGGTAGTTGGGAAATGTGTGGGTAAGAGTGTAAGTCATCTCAGCTTTTTGCAACAAGAAGGAAGGTTTCACCTTTTTTGTGTTCTTCCTCGGGCCTTCAATCTTCTCTTCTAGCCTTTTCTCCCCCTGATTCTAACTCTTCTCTGCATAGACATACAAATAATAAAAATACAAGTGGAGAAAAAGCTCACACGCTTTTACTATACATTGTAACACTTAGGTTTATGCTTTTCCTGCTTTTTTAAGGTTCCCACAGCCACGTCACTTGCCTTTGTTGGACTTGGATTCCACCAAGCTCCATAAAACTTGGTTGAAACTTCTGCCACGTATATTTGTCAGTCTTCTATGCTTTAGTCACGCTTCTTACTGTGTTATTCAGCTTCAAGGTACTTAGTTTTTTTTTTTTGGTTGGTCGAAAAGGAAACCTCATTAACCAAAAAGTTCAGTGCAAATAATTAGCCAATACCAAACCTAGGTAGTAGCAAAACATCAAATTCCAAAAATGAACTGAGACTCGGAGAACTCAATCCCTTAATAGCCATGTTGGCATAATTCTGTACAAATTATAAGCCAACAAAGTGGGCTTGCCCACCACATTATACGTGTCCTGATAATTTTGATATTTACTTCCTAACTTTGACTTGATCTTATTTTTTACTTGTTCTGACTGTGATCTTATGGTTGCAAAAAAAAAAAATGAAAGCCAAGGGCGGAAAAAAGGGATTATAATAATACAACACTGCCTTTATTTGCATGGGCATCTTGGCCAGTCTTTTGCATTTCGGATGAATTTGGTACGCATCTCTTATTTGGACTTTTAATATAGAATTTAGATGGACTTAATTTTATTATTTTTATATTTTATATTTGACATTATTTAAGATAATCAATTATCAAATCCGATTAAACAATAAAAAGTTAGATGGTCTGTACTTTTCATTTATATGATTCAAAGTATTAAATGAAAACGTGCGCAGGGGTATGTTTCATTTGGTGGCATCGTTTTTAATGCATGTACTATTCACAGCTTTGCGGAATTTGTGGATGCTTGCGGTTCGGTGTGCATGTTGAAGAGAGATTCCTAAATAGAGTTATAGACCCTAACTCTAACAATTACCGCAGCCTTTAGCCCTTGGGCCCACTCTACACACACACACATATATCTTTACCTTTGTCATTTTTTTCCTCCAAGAATAACAAGCAAGTGGCTACTGGAAAGGATAATATAATCAATTCATGAAGGTTTGATTATTATAAAAATAAAATAAAATAAAATAAAATAAAAAAATTAAAATTAAATTAAATTAAATTACCCTTCCTTTTATGATAAACATAATATAACTTATTAATATATATTATAAATATGAGAATTATCACATATTTAAAAATTTCATAAATAATGATTTTTAATTTTATAAACTAAATTACCCCTTCCTCTTATGAATATGTTCATTTATTTTTTTTAATATCTTATTTTTTTATTTTTTAATCTATTTTATTTCATTCTTTTTTAATAATCAAGCAGGACCTAAAATTCTTTATTAATATCCAATTCCTGAGTGTGCTTTTCAAAAACTATTACAAGTTGCATTTACTAAACCCGCTTTAATTTTTCCAATTCCTAGAATGTAAATTGAGTATAAAAATGACAACAAAGCAATTTTGGCTTCTAAAAACTTTCTAAAATACTTTTTAAAAGCTAAAAGTTGATTATCCAAATAGGTTACATAAATATTTCACAAGGTATTAAATAAAGATTTTTTAAAAAAAAGAAAAAGATTTTTAGTTCTGAAACATAAATAAGAGAATAAATATTGAACTTAAGAACTCAAGTTATATGATGAGATCTAACTTAATCTTAACTTTTTTTATGAGATTTTTATTTGTCATTCAACCTTTTTTTGGGGATCAGTATCGGCAATATGAAGCTGAACTAGTGAACTTGAGCCACAAGGTCTTTATGGCTATTAGTTTGTTACTTTCAAAGGTTATATCCAGTTCACTTAGGTAGTGGAGATCGGGCCATATATCCATGAGAAATAATTAAACAATATTGCAATTTAATTTACACTATAATAATTATATTAATGCCATCCTCACACATCAGAACATGACATATTGTAGTGTGCCAGGTCAATCCCATTCTCTTCTAGGATCAAAATACTGGTGAGAAATGATTGAAACATGAAAATCATTTATAAGTGACATATGAGTCATGAACAAGCTGAAGCTCATAATTTTTTCGGATGCTTCTATATATAAATGGACAGGCACAGTACATCAAACCAAATTGAAAGCTCACGACTTGTTTCATTCTTACCAGATAGATGACTGGAACTGAGTAATCTTCAGGAGTTAGAAATCACATGAAAATCTTTCTTCTCTTATTTCTCAAACAATACATTTCTTGGTACCATTTCAGAATACTCAATGTTATTATGGCTATACTGATATCCTCTTTCATGAATCCGTTTTAGATATTTGTACTGAGCAATATGTTCTAGACTTTACTTTTGTGTAATTTCTCTAAACTCTCAAGCTTCGGCTCGCCGTTTATAACTCAAAAAAAGAATGCTTAATGCAAAACGGGATTTAGTATCTCTTACTACCAAGTTTCTATCAACTATCTAAAGTAACATGTCTAACAGAATTGACTGCTTAACTTAAGCCAGGATTTTATGTTGAGTTATGGTAAGCAAAATACCACCTTCAACCTAGAATATCGCATTTTTACCCATAAAATATTGGGATCAAACATCTATATATCTCACTGGGTCATAAACAACTTTCCAATGCAGATTACGCACATTAACAGAGCTGGACTGAACTGAACATGGTAAACTAACATTAATGGACAACTTTTAGAAAAGAAAGTTCACTCAAAATTCAGTTCAATTGAAAGCAGCAAGCTCTCAATGTTGTTCCCCAACGAGAGATCACTTGTTTCCTGTCTGGATCACCAAAATCTGGTTCGTTCATGTCATTGAATCAGACAATATAGCATTCACCCAATTTGGTAGAAGAAAAGAATCGAACCTAAACTTGAGGGTCAACTCGCTTTTTGTCTCAATATTCTTTCCTAGCCTTTTGGCCAGAACATAAACCCTTGATTATATTCTTGGTTCAAAATCATTCCATTCACCGTTCAGATTATGACAAATACAAAGAAGATAGTTGCGAAGCCAACTACACCTCCATATATATGCGCATAAATGTCTGCTATTCAATGAAGAAACCTTTCGAGGGAAGTTTGTAGCTAGAAGATACAGCTCATATATGTGGTGGCTTTAATTACTTAATTTTCATCATTATAAATATCTGCCACACGTAAAATCATAACCATAAAAACATATTGCAAACCATGCAAGTGGATATAGACATACGTACATGGTAACTTCTATTGTTCAATTGCTTATACCATATCTAGCTAGTTTTTTCTACGTTGCTTACATTATAAGTAATTAATAAACACCAGGCTTTTGTTTATTTTTTAAATGCTTCTATAAGTTGTAAGCAGCTTAGCTATAGTCTAGGCTGCATTTACTCATGGATTAGGTGACGAAATAAAGAAAAAGCGAAATTAGTTTTTGGTTGTTAGTTAGGTAGGGATTCAGTTAATAGTCTAACTGAAAGAAAGATATAATATTTATAATATCAATGTGTGTGTGTGTGTGTGTGTATAATAAAACCTCGCTGCATTATGAATAATATATGCAGTTTCTTATACTCTGTCCAATACATGTATGAAGTCTTACTTTAATATCCCATTACATTCTATTAAAATATTTTATTTTTGGCATAAAAATGAAATATTTAAAATATAATCTATTATAACTTGTATAATTATTAGTCATTATCTATTTTTAATCAACTAGATATGTAAAATATAAAATTCTAACAAAATATATATAAAAATAATATGGCTCATTTACTGGTTTTTTTTTTTACTTTTTTAATATCAAATTATCTGGAAATTAGATTAAATTTCAACTAATCTAAGGTAAGTTAGTTAATGTGACAAAGGCCGTTAGAATCCCTCAACAAGTTTTAAATTAATTTTTTTAATTGAAAAACACGTATGTGCATCAGTACAACTGTATAAGTACGAGCCACAAAGGATGAATTCCTCTGAATCAATTTTCGTCTGCAATCTTCACGCCAATTGGGCCCTGGGAATATGGCGGAGGATAACAGAAGCGCCGATCGATTGAGAGAGCTTGAATCGGAAGTCCTGCAGTTCCGGCGAGAGTTAGCCTGTGTCAAGGGTGAAATGATCCATTTGAAAGAGACGGTGATGGAAATGACGTCGAGAGCCTTAGAGGCGACTATGAACGCGGATGAAATTTCACGACCGATCAATTCGAACTTGATAGAGCTCGTTAAGTTGCTGCTAAAGTCGCTTTCAACCACAAATAGGCAAGGTAATCAGGCCACGGTGCACTGTATTCCGTATACCTCCACCTTTCATGAATGGAAATGGATTAGTGAGATCGAGCTTATCCTCCGTTTGGTTCTTTTGCAGCAATGCCGGCCACCATTTACCGGCTTGATGTTGAATTTCCTAAGTTTGATGGCTCAGACTTTAGGAGATGGGCATCGAAATGTAGACAGCTTTTTGAAGTGGACGCCACTCCAACGGAGCTCCGGTTCAAGATTATCAGCATTCATCTACAAGGTAAGGCTCTTAACTGGCATCGATGTTTTATGAAATGGAAGAAGAGAAGGGAGGTGAACTGGGCAGAGTATATGGAAGAAATGGCCAACAGATTTGTGGATACTGATAACATAGATCCTTTAGCTGAATTGTTTAGGCTGAAACAGGAGGGTTCAGTGATGGAATACATGGACAGGTTTGAAGAGCTAATATCTGAAATGGTTATAGCAGAAGAAATATCCATTGATCTCTTCTTATTGGGGCTGAAACCTGAAATAAGAGATGGTGTGAGAAAGTTTAAGCGTTTAAACCTTGCCGACACCATGCATCTTGCAAGAATGCAAGAAGCAAACCTACTAACCGTACCTACTAACCATTGAAGATTAAGATGATGATCAAGAGGATGAATAGAAAGGAGCACCGAAAATAGCATTGTTGGATGCAGTAGGTGGAATAGAGAGTTAATTTCACTATGAAGGTAGAGGATTAATATGTTGAATTGTTGATTAGTAAAGTTTTTAGAAGAGATAACATGCCAGGTGCTCAAAATTTTGATGCTGAGGGACACTGATTCTGAAGGTGCTACTTGGGAGAATTTCATCAATATCAAGAGCAATTTTCCTAGTTTTTTCTTTTTTTGATAAAAGGGAAACAATTTACGTATAGTTTAATAATGGGTAAGAAGTGAAGTTACTTGCTGATTCTTAGTTTGTGAGCTAGATTTAGTTAGAGAAGTGTAAGTGAATTTGAATGAAACTACATTCCTCTGTTGCTAGAATAAATATGAGAGATGAGTAGGTCTGTGGTTGAATCTTCGAGGGAACAATTTGATTCTTTGAATTACTTCTGTTGATAGTCTTCCTGCCACCTGGTTTCTGCTTCTCCACGTCTTTCTTTTGCGTGTTTTGTCTGCAGTTTAAAAGCCAGACGTATATGTGGCAAATAGACATATACAATATATCATTTTCTCACCTCAATTAATCTAACTTTTCCTATTTTTATTCATTTTTTAATGACAGTTAAAAAACAAAAACAACAAATAAGTGAGTTTACTTCATGAAGAAAAAACCAGCATGAGTCCGAGATCTTTATAAAATTTACATGAAAAATGATATTGAAATCCAACTCAATTATTTAACAAAATTTGCATATAAACACCTACTAAAATATATCAAATAATGAAGATCTCAAAATCAAGATAGATGTCATTGAATTGTTAAAGATATTGGTTCAAGGTAAATAGTCAAAATAATTGTGATTGAACCACTTAATCAGATTAGTTAGGAATAAAAATATTTTTTTAAATTGATTAAAATACTGATTCAATAGTTTATCGCGGGTGCTGTTGCGGGTATGATGAAATTTATTATGAACTTTGTCGTGCTGGCTTACGAATTTTATTTGATATTGGCCTTCTTTTTTTTTTTTTTTTGGGCCAAGATATTCGCCTTCTACTCCACGCAAATGGCATAGCCGCCTCAAACTTGCGCATCAACCTCCAAGTTTTCAGTCAAACGCTTTTACGCACATGTCATTTTCTCATTTTTGTTGCCGAAACTTTGAACTGATCACCATTAACTTCCCATGCATAATCTTTATTTTTTTCTCCATCGACTTTGGACGCATTACTTTCTAGATATTATGTATTTTACTGCACAAAATGTATACCAGGCATAGAATGATCAGCCTTGACCCATAAATTGAGTTAATATAATATACATGCATGCAAAATATCAATAACCATATTAAAGCTCCTATTTATCCTTTTCTTTCGTTTACTGAACCCCCCCCCTTTACAATTTAAGGGGTTAACCAAGTTCGATATCATATCCTCTGTCTTATTCTTCTTGTGATTGTCTGATATTAATAACTAGTAACGAAAAGTATAGCTTTATTTCGCCAATAATCTTCTTTTTATATAGAACAGAATAGTCAACAGTTTTTTTTTTCCTCGACCAATGAATAGTCAACAGTTTAAAGTTTAAACAGTAATTGACGGCATCAGGTCCAGAAAATGGGCGAAATGCCAACGGTCAACGGTCAACTACGTCTCCCAAAAGTAACAGTTTTATGGCTTATCCTTCATGCATAAGAGCGCGCCGATTCAAAGCGGTCCTTATTTGAAATAGCCCCTTCCCCTTCATTCTATTTCTTAACCACAAAACTTCATATTTTCCCCCGACTCAATTCAATTCACGTTCTGAAGTACTTAGCAATGGCTCCGTCCGACGAGTCTGGCCACTCTCTCGTTCCTGAATTTCTTTACTCATCACCGTCATCGTCAAAGAGGCCCTTCCATCTGGGTACGTTGATGAAGAAGAATCACGGGTTGACACCAACGACGTCGCCGGTTGTGTCGAATTCATCATCGGTGCCGTCGCTCCCGCCAGGAAGGGGTTTTGTGATCCCATCGCCCAGCGAGAAGATCGAGTTGTTTTCTCCGGCTTTCTACGCTGCATGTGGAATCGGAGGGTCGTTGTGCACTGGTCCTACCCACATGGCCGTCACTCCCCTTGATGTCGTCAAGTGTAACATACAGGTATACTCTTATTCCTCTGCTTCCAACTCATACTGATTACTGATTATATTCAAAATGTGATGCTTCTCAAATCATCCCATTTTGAATATAATCACTGTTACATTTAATACATATATAGTGGCATCTGTGGCAACTTGTGTCAATATCATTTCTTAAGTGGGTACTCGCTAATTAATCATGGACTTTGGTTTGGATTTTTTGCGGGGGTAAAGCCAGGGATATTAATCTTCTAGAATTTTATATTTTTCTGACGTTAATGTTGACTCAAGGATTTGTAGTCTCTCTGCAATATATTTGGTTTTGATTCAAGTGGTTTTTAAGTTTAGAATTTGAATTGAATTTTTTAATTCCATGTGATACTTGATTTTGCAGGTTAAGAAATTATGCCTGTAATACTGTAGTTCTTATCATGAAGTATATACTTGATAGGCTTATATTCATGCTTTCCTTACCGGGAAATATGCATGCGTTGATTACATCTTTTGATAACTTTCTCCGGTCATTAACCCTTGTTATTTACAGATCGATCCAGCAAAGTATAAGAGCAACATGTCAGGATTTGGGGTTATTATGAAGGAGCAGGGTATTAAGGGCCTTTTTAAGGGATGGGCACCAACTTTGCTGGGTTACAGTGCTCAGGGAGCTTGCAAGTATGGATTTTACGAGTTCTTCAAAAAGTATTACTCAGACATTGCCGGGCCTGAGTATGCAGCCAAGTACAAGACGTTGATATACCTTGCCGGTTCAGCTTCTGCAGAAGTGATTGCTGCTTTTGCCCTTTGCCCAATGGAAGCAGTCAAAGTTCGCGTCCAAACTCGGCCTGGCTTTGCTCGTGGCTTAGCAGATGGTCTCCCCAAGATCGTCAGAGCTGAGGGTGTTCTTGGGTATGATGATATTTCATCTCATTTGCCTCTGTCACTTATCATTTCTTGGGTATTTGAATCTCAGGTTTGATCCCATTTTGAATTTGCAGGTTGTACAAGGGACTTGTTCCTCTATGGGGGCGTCAGATTCCATGTAAGTTGGGCTTCTTCCGTCTTGGTTAATGGTTAAGCTAAGCTGCATGGCTCTTAAGTGTTGGGACTGAAGCATTTCATTGATTGCTTTCAGATACAATGATGAAATTTGCTTCATTTGAGAATATCGTGGAGATGATGTACAAACATATCATCCCTACCCCTAAGGAGCAGTGCAGCACTGGTGTGCAGCTTGGAGTGAGTTATGCCGGAGGATATGTAGCAGGCATATTCTGTGCACTGGTCTCTCATCCTGCTGATAATCTTGTTTCTTTTCTCAACAGTGCCAAGGGAGCCACTGTTGGTGATGTGAGTCCCAAGTTTATCCATAGAGAAAGTTCTTATGTAGATTTGATTTGATTTTGAGTCAAGAGTTTATAGATCAAAACAGAACAGGACTCGAGCACATTCTTGATAATGCTGAATGCTGCGACTGAGAATTTTCATTTGGTGGGCTTGCAGGCTGTGAAAAAGTTTGGGCTATGGGGTCTTTTCACTCGTGGCCTTCCTCTTCGGATTCTTATGATTGGGACGCTGACCGGAGCGCAATGGGGAATCTATGATTCTTTCAAAGTGTCTGTGGGACTGTAAGTTGCTCCTTCTGCCCTCCTTGTTTTGCCCAGTGGAATAAGCACTCTTTTTACGATATCCGTTATAAATATTATTTTTAAAATTAAATAATAATCTTTAAAATTATTTTTATTTTATTTATTTTTTATAATTCTGTGAAGCCAATATTTACGCTGCAATGTTTCTATGGTATTTTATCCTTCCGACTAATATGAATTGGCTGTCTGTTGTTTCAGGCCCACTAGTGGTGGAGCTCCCACTCCAGCTGCCACAGTAGTTGCAAATGCTTGAGTCAGAACTCAGAAGTATATACAGACTTTCTTTGTACCCTGAAACCCAATATTAGTTGGTCCAATTATAGGGAAACTTTTGATTGGTCAGGAATGTAGTCATTTCTCATTCTTTTGAAGGAGCAATAATGGTCCCCTCCGCCTCCTCCTTGTAGTGATTCTATTTTGTGGCCACTTTATTTGCAAATCTATTTTGTGGCCACTTTACAAATCTTTTTTTTTAGTACAATTTACAACAATGGATTCATGAATACATTATGAGACTTAACCTAAGAGATGGATGTTCATATAAGCATATCAAAAACATATCAATGAATGCACTACTCTGAAACTACAAAAATATAACGCTTCCTTCTTTTAGCTTACGTTTACTCAGTAACATTGAACATAGCAGGGTAGCCCCTTGCCCTTGCCTCGTAACTGATCGCCGGGATTAGAACCTAAGATAATCATTTCTGCAGGAACCCAATAGCTCTCCAATGGTAGAATCAGACCTTTCACCATAATTTTATTCCAAATTGATCAGATTAGCTCGACAGAATTGCATTCTGCATCATTCTTCTCAAAATTTCCAAGAAAACTTCAAACTAGCCTTGATGTACTCAATCATGACTGTTCCTGAACCAGGCGTAATGGGTATACAGTATCAAATACAATCCTTGCAAAAACATGCCGTACTTCCCGCAGGTCACCAGCAGCTAGAGAGTCATAATTAATTTTTCTGCCACGCTTTGACACAAATTTCTTCGCAGCATCACTTACCGTCACACAGTCAAAGATGCTGCGAGCTTTTAGGTAAACCCCTAATGGGATGAATACCTGAAAATTTTACATAAATAAGAGTAGGAACCAAGTGTTGCTCAAAATGCATTTATCCGTAATATTTAACAGGGAAAACGCTGGATACTTAGGTTGCTACAATCAAATATCCGGTTGATTTGGAAATATAGGTTTTTACCAACATCATCAAACAAAATTACAACATGAATTCATACTCAAAGCATCCATATAATTACTACCAGCCACGTTCACTTTCATTGGTTCATGCTCTTTTAAAAATGCCATTACTAGTAATTCAATTCTCTGCATGAAGTCACGCATCAACTTAACTGGCATGCCTAAAGTGACTTTCTTTTGCAGGGAACACATCATTTGAATTAATAAAAATCCAGATATTGCATTCTCCAGTATATTGGCTTACATTTACTCTCCCTTCATGTCTCTGCACAGTAGGGTGTGCAATCTTGGCAGGAGGTTATAAATTCATTTTAGAGAAAAAATATCGACAGGTCCTTATAATTTTTTTCAATTTTAAATTAGATCCCTACAATTTGTTTTCTTTAATTGAGCCCTTGTAATTTGATCCATTAGATTTTCTAATCCCTGAATGTTAAAACCCTTAAATTTTTCTTTTAAAAGGACAAAATTAGTAAATTTTATATTTTCATTAAAATATTGTATAACTTTAGAATTAATTATATAAATTTTTATATAATTAGGTTCTCTTCTAAATAATTTTTATACACATAGAATTTCACAAAAAAAGTAATAAAAATGTAAATAGTGTATTAAATCAATTTTCTTTTTCTAATTTTGGTTTGAAGTATTGAATCAAATTTTTTTAATTTTGTTTTAAGAAAGTAGATACTCCCTCCATTCAAAGATGTAAGGCAATTTTAACCGAATCTCACCCCTCAATAAAATAGTTACCTATTTTCAAACTAACTCTATCTTTCCATATTCATCCCTATTAAATACCCTACAATAAATATAAAGTCATTATCAAGAGAGGCACTTTTGCAAAAAAAAAGCAATGATTACACCTCGAAAGACTAAAAATGCCTTACATTTTTACACATCCAACTCCTCAAAAAATGCCTCACATTTTTTAACAGAGGGAGTAATTCATTATTAATTTTAACATTCAAGGATTAACATATCTAATGGATCAAACTATAAAGACTTGATTAAAACAAAATAAAATACAAGGACCTAATTCAAAATTACGAAAAACTATAATGAGTTGCAGATTAATTTTCCCTTCATTTTAATATTGTGTTGAAATGTTGAGCAAGTCGAGGCCCTAAAATATTCTAGTGCATTCCATCTTTTTGATAACATGTCCGGTGGCATTTGCTTATATGTTTAAGAAGGAAAAAGTTACTCACCAGATCTGAATAAGGGGCTTGAGGATAGTCAGCCATGGCCTGAGACACAAATCGCTCATCTGTCATCTGCAACAACGACCCTTTAACAGACTCTGCAAGATCCATAATTTCTTCTGCTAATTCCTCATCATCCAGATGCAATGGATCTAACAATTCAGGAAACCTCGCATCATGTGATTTGTTGATCCTCCTTGCTATGTTTATTGCTTCTGACAAATCTCCACCATTATGAACCACAAGACTGAATGCAGCAACCACTGAAGCATACCTCGGCTTATCACTCAGTGCGTTATGTAAAGCTAGGATACAGACCCTGAAAGCAAAGATCCATGATGTATCTCGCTCATTGGACCCAACTTACATGACAATCCAATGGGAGCCAGAGAATTAAAAAAAAACAGAGCAAAATAATGTTTAGAAACTATTTCCTATTATTGACGCAGGAAAGGAGAAAGGCCTTGTATGTTTACTTTATGTCTTGAAAACATATACTGTCCTATAGAATGATGATATTTGACTGCACTTACGATGCAAACAAATGATGAATTTAGCCTCAATTTCTCCTGGAAAATTAGACACTTCTTAAAGCATATGGCTAACAAGGTAAAATAAGAAAAAGGCATTGTCATAGGCTGTAGGCATATATCTTACCATAGGCTACTATGACAAGGACGATCAGGCGCCAAAAGTGTATCCAAATTGGACATGAATGACTGCAGATAAAATTCAGAGATCCAACTAAGAATTATGAAATCATATAATATGCTTGTTGAATTAACACCCAACCAAGTAACAAATATAATCATGCTAAAATATCTGATGAGCCATATCCAAATTAGAAAAAATCACCCCATGCATCATACCCCAACACTGACAAATATGGATGTGTAAAATAGGTTATAAGGTTAAGGGTCATTTTTGTCAATAAATTTTACCCGAAGGGTCATTGGGAACCTGAACTAAAAAAAAAATTCTTATTCTATCCCTCAATGTTAAAGAGTATCTCTCTCGTCACCCTACCATTTGCTTGCTGTGTGTTGACCATTTATTGCCCTGTGGGGCCCTTGATGTTGCACATTTGGCAGGCCACGCATGCACAGCTCTCACTTTTTAATATTTTTTATAATAAAATATTGTACCAATGGGTCCCACTTCCACTATTTTATCCCTCTTCCTTCTCTCTCCATTTCCTCTATCCGTTCTCTTCCCTCTCTCTCCTTCCCACATTCTTCCACTCAAGCTTTCCTTCCACTCCATTCACTTCACTTCCTCTGCCTCCAAACTACATTCCACTGGAGCAGTATTTGATGCTAACTTGTCATAAAAGATTTTGGTTTGATTAAAAAAAAAAAAAGATGAGGATTTAGCTACGTGATTAATGGAGGTGATCATTTATCCTGTGTATACGATGGAAACAAGAGAAGGGCCAAAAATAAAAGCACACATGGAAAGCTAATATATGAAACCAAGCATCAAAGAGTGATGACTCCACGATCGATGCATGAAACAAGACAATGCAAGAGCTCCAAGTTGAACAAAAGAGAACTCGCCACAGGATTCCACAAGGTATATATTCTCCAACAGCAAAAGCACTGGTTGCAAACAAGAGATAGAGAGAGCAAGTCAAGCAGGGTGGTGGTTTCAAATATTTTTTCAGCCTCTGTTTTGACGACAGAAAAACAAAGTAAAGATAAAGACACAACTAGCTGAATTACGAAAAGTTGGGGTGTGGTTGTGATGCTTACTCAGCCTGTGGTTGTGATGCAACCTGAGGTGCTCTCTCTCCAGGTCCCTATATAGCTTGCATATAACATTAACTCAAGGCAATCTTGTTCAGGAGGAGACAATCAGTTCTTCAAATAACTGAGATCACTTTCAAGAAGTAGCTTTCGTAGATTAGTGAGTTGCGAAGAAGAGAGTCTCAAAATGTGTTCAGCTGATAGAACGTGTTTCAAAGAACGACGATAGCAAAGCCACCAAAATATTCATATGATTTGCAATGGCAGCTGGCCATGCCAACTCAACATCAGAGATGACAGCATCTCAAGTTGATCGAGAAACTGCTCGAATGGGGTTTGGTGATAGAACATTCTCTCACTCTCCCTTGTCGGCCATCACATCACTGTCAGACCCCAAGGAGCTCCATGCTCGTGGCTAGATGATCAACTCCTTCGAAGTCCAGAGAACGTGGGGAGGAGAGGTGAGAGGAGTGGGTCAGTGAAAGAAACAAATCTGAACGTTGAGGTTGTTGCGTTATCACCAACAGTGCTGATGGCGACGAATAGATTCATGTGCGAGATATGCATGACAACGGGACCGTTATTCCAAAAGAGCTCCATGATTTCGTCTAAGATGAGAGAGGAGAAGGGAAGGTGAGAGGACTGACTAAGGTGGCAAATTGTGGCATTAGAGACTAAACAAACGTGTACATGTCAGCACCATAATGGAGCTGTTACAATGAGAAAACAGCAAGGTTATAAGGAAGAAAACCTTTAGCTAATATATGAAACCAAGCATCAAAACTTACTTTTTTGAGTTTAGGATGACCACTAACCCTTCGGGTAAAGTTCAGGAGTAAAAATGACCCTTAACCTTAGATTATATATATAGAACTTGAGGGGCTGGTGGGTGTGGTATAGAGAGACAAAGAATAGGGAAGAAAGTTCAATATCACAAGATTGGTAAAATTTACTGATAGAAAGAGAAAACAACATTTATGTACTCTGCAGTTTAAACCTGTATTTGTCAAGGATGTTGCAGGCAGCATGAAGACTCTGATAGAGCTCCTACTTCTCAAGACAAAGTCACATCTATTCCTAAGACCTACAGAAGACATCTTGGGAGGGGAAATGACTCAAGAAAGTCCAACACAGCTGGTCAAGAAGAATATACTAAAATTTATAGCCAAAAGGATAAAAAGTGGCAGGAAAGCAAGGAAGTAGGTTAAGCTTAGGGAATGGGCAGTATTGTAGTAGTTCAATGTAAGTTTTTCATTTGAAACTCCACCTCTGGTACCAGCTAAAAGGGCAAATTGGTTATTTTAAAGAAACATGTAGTGTGAGGACTGAGGAAAGCTCTGTCCTTTTCAACACTAGAGTCACTGACTTGTTTGTGTTCTGTACTATTTCAGTATATTTAGTTCTTTATGACTTATTGCTTCCTGCAATAGGGATTTATGTTTTGGTTAGAATCAGTATCTGACTTGTGGAACGTATTCAGTGTATTTAGTTCTTTTTCAATGTCAAAACCCAGTATTTTCCCATTAGTTTAGCATCCAGCAAAGATTTGCAGGTTCCTATCAAACTGAGAGTAAAAGTAGGAAGGAACGCTGATGCTTCTTAGTCTGGGATTCCTAAATAAGTTGTTGAATAGTAAATACAGATATGTATTTACAAATACTTAAGGGGGTGTTTGGATACCACATAAAACACCACTGACAGTCCTTTTAAAAAGTAAGTTTTCTAAAAGCTTGTTTGCGTAGATTTTGTTTGTTTTGGAAACACATCCACAAAACTTAAAAGCCATGGAAAAGTCAGTTTGGAAAATGCAAGTCGGGGTTACTTTTACCATTTTAGAACTCATTTTGGCAAATCTACTTTTACTGTTTGGGAACCAGACACACATTTAGGCAATAGAACCAAGGATCTGAGCATATTGCATATTGCACTTTATATTAGCAGCACATTCAAGAATGCAAAAGGCAGAAAGAATGCATTTTATGGATCTCCAATCTTAAAGCTTACCGTCAATTCACAACATGGAGGAAATGATACTACCAAGATATTTAGTGTGTGCGTGCGTGTGTGTTTTGGAATGGGGGGTTGATGTCTCGTATGCCCTTGCACCAAACAAACCATGTCAGTCTATTAAAGTCTAAACTTCTGAGGCATACCAAAAGCATATTCGTTCCCTTGCCCCGTCTACGAAATCGATGGTGAACAAAATAAGCAGCCTGCAACCAGAACCTAAATTAAACAGACTAAGACTAATGTATAAAATTAAAATAAAGAGCATCTAGAAGTGCATCTACCTGAAAGGGAAGAAGAATATCGAGAAGTCCAAATTTCCATAGTAACCTTAAAGAAGCTTCAGCAGAACCATAAGCCAACATATAATTTATTTCCATCAAAAGCCTACCCTAAAAAATGTAAAATATGAACAACTCAGGAAAAATATTCACATGCATGACAATAATAAGGGAGAAAAGTTCTTTATATACCTTATCAAGTCTTAAAACTGAGTAAGAAAGATTTTTTACAAAATGAGCTGTTTCCCTGGAAAGGCCAAAGCCTAAGCGGGCCGCAATTCTAATTCCTCGTAGAATGCGAGCTGCAGAAAATGCCGTTAGACATTTCTTGTAACTAAGGTAATTCTTATGCAAAAAAGGGGAAAGTGAAATGAACTATTAAACTCACCACAATCCTCCTGAAAAGAAGTACTCGCAGGAATCACAGTTCGCACCTATTCATGCAGAAACTTATTTCAGGAAGTTCCAGATAGACCATAAGCAAAAATATAAGAGAAAACAGCTGATAAGAGATACATGCACACTTTAGCTTTTTTAATATCTCCCATTCCTCCCAGGTAATCATATACAATTTTTGCATAAGGGTCAAACATCAACCTGGAAGAGCATAAAGTTAATTATCAGTATAAGCAGCAGCACAAACTATAGATAGCAAAGTCTACATAGAGACCACAAAGTAGACAATTGCAGAGCAAAAGAAATTAGATTTTCCATTTTTAAAATGCAAGCAATGCATACAAACCCATTAATCGTAAAATCTCGTTGCAAACAATTTCTCCACCGAAGATAGTCTTTCTTATCACAGCCACGTGGTCCTTTAATGTCATGAGCATCCACACCCAACTTGCGCCTAGCAGTATTAAAACTTGAAACCTAATAAAAAGGGGCAATGAAATTATCATAAATCATCAAAAAAAAAACAGAGATGGAAATTTTGTTTGATATAATTGCCACAAAATCCCTCCTTAATGGGAAAAATTCAATTGATCACAGTCCTTGTTCGATCCAAAGTTAAAATTTAAAACATAACAGAAAAACCAACCTCAACAATGGTATCATCAACATGAACATGACATATAGGGAACCGTTTGCCAACTATCTCACACCATGAAAATGTTCTCATCACCTACAAATTGAATCAAGATTCACATTCACCAAGAAATATTAAGACCTAGAAGCATCAAGCAGTTTGAACCTTCAAATCAAATAGCAAAAAGTAATTCTATGCATAGTCTATGTTACAGACAACATATGCCAAAATAAACACTCATGCTCTTAATTAAACTTAGCTATTTGACAATAGAGTCTTCCAGTAAACCTTGATATTGATAATGAATTTAAAGACAACAAAGAAATATGAGATGAAGGAAACCTCTCTAAGCTCAGCTGAAGTTATAATATCAAAGTCCTTTGGTGTTCGCTTTAGAATAAGATCCCGCACACAGCCTCCTACAAGGTATACATCATATCCTACAGGCACAAGAAAAAAAGGGGTTTCTAGACATTACAATAGCAGAACATTCACGATTAAAAATCAAATAAAACATGATCAACCAAAATAAAAGTAAAATTTTTATTACACGGAAAACCGAACACAAGTATTAACACTTATTCAGCAGACCAGTTTTCATCTCAATAAAATCAAAACAATCACCTTAGTTTACTAAAGTTTAATACTTTAGTTAACATTTGAAGATCACTACTAAGCAATGCTTACATACACCTAGAAGTCCATCACTCGTGAACATAGAATTTCCAAGTCTTATATCACAATGTAAGAGATGAATTTTACAAGCAATTTTCAGTTACAATGCCCATTAATATGTGATGGTGGCCAGACTGAGGTAACAATTCAAGCAAAAAGATAGATGTCTAGTTCTTAATACGGTAATGGTAAGTTTTGGTCATATATTAGAAAACATATTCTGCAGAACAAACTGTAATCTCAACTATTACAATTAGGCATTTCCTGATTATACAGCAATCTATTTGCAATTGCTAGGCAAAGGTTTGGAAAGAAATAATAGAGGCCAATTCTCCATCTGATAATCATACACAACTGTGGTCATGATAGTAAAATATGGGTCAACCCTAGTTAAACCAATAAATCATTAAACCAATTTCTTGACCGGTTTAGTGAAATGTTTTGTTCATGACTGATCTGATCATAGTTCATCCATGGTTTTGACCATCAATTTTGAACCAATGACTTCACAGGTCCAGTTTTCATTGCCTTGACTGTAGTGGAAACATGGAAAGTAATAAAAGACTTTTACTCTGGGAAAGTCAAAAACAACTCTATCTAATATCTATGATAGCAGTCCAAGAAAATCTTCCTAATATTTGTAAGAATGAGAGGTTAAATAAAATAGACAAACTAAAACATAATCATTTTTTTCGTTTTCTTATACAAACCGAGCTTTTGTTGTGGGGGGTGGGGGGGGGGAGTGAATGAGAGGGGTAAGAGGCAGTGTGTACCCTTTTTCTTCAGCCTATTAAGAACCTTTTTTGTAGGATCTGCGATCATTGAAGTTTTAATTCCAAGTTCTTTGGAATCAAATTTCCTCCATGTAGGGCCCTTCTTACTTCCTTCACCGATTTAACACAAGCAAAAGAAATGATTCAGCACTCATATTCATCAATGTCGACAAAACCACACAAAGAAATGCCATTTGGGAAAAAAGGGGGGGGAATCATTCACCAAAAATTCAGTCCTTCACTTGCCTTCTTCAGGAACCGAAACATTTAGTTCTTCTTTTATCACTTCCTCTGCGTCGATGGAAGCGGCATATCTCGGCACAACCTTGAAAAGAAAGGAATAAACAAGCAGAAGAGTGAGTGAGAGAAAGAAGTATTCTTCAGAGGAGGACACAAACAAGGGCACATTTACCTTACGAATGCACTGAAATGGAGCGGGAAGAAGGTGTACATTGGGTTTGCACACAAATTTTAAGCCAGCGATCGCCATGGACATGACCAGGGCCGCACAGACGTGGATAAGCTTAGCTACCAAACAGGGCTTCCACACATCGTCACTGCTCGCAAGCACTTGCAAGGTTTAGGCGATAGGGTTTAAGCATAAATTTAAATTAAAATGTTTTTTTCTGAAAAACTGTACGTACTTCTCTATCCCTAGCATATTATATTTTACCGCTAATATTTATTAACTTTGTTTAAAAATTTATTAAATTTTTAAATTTATTTTTATTAAATATATATATTTTAATAATTTATCTTCAATGTTTAATGAAAGATAAAAAAAATTATTATAAAAATTTAATATTATAATTTATAAATAGAATAAAAAATTCTCTCTATTATATAAATAAGACAAAGAGAATCATGCATTTCATGCTCACAAAGTAGGCATTTTTACTGTTATTGTATTTGTATATATATAGAGAAAATCTCCTATGTATTATTTTTTGATTAAATTATACATTATTTCTTGAATTTTAAATCATGTACACATAACCTTCTTAGCCTTTAAAGTTTTATAATGAACCCCCATCAACGCTCATATTTATGCAAATAACTCTATATGATTAATTTTATATATTAATGATTTATATATAATTTAAAGTTTAAAGGGTTATCTATATGTCAATCAAAGTTTAAGTGTTTAAATACACACAAAAATAAAATTTAAGGTGGTATATAATCAATGGTTAAGAATTATTTGTATAAACTTAAAAGGTCAAGGACATTTATTCTTAAGTTTTAAAGATTAAAGAGTTTATATGTATATTGTAACATCCTAAATTTTATTAAACTCTAGAGTATCTATAAACACCTTAAAAAGGACTTAAGATAAAGTTTTAGGCCTAAAGTGATAAGACAATATATATATATATATATATATATATGTATACATATATACATATATAATGACTAAAGTAATTAAATTTAACAAATATTTGAAACTAACTTTTAAAAAATTAATTCAAATAATAATAGTTAGATAATTTTGGTAAATTTTGCAATATATCTTATCATTCTAAAATTTTCTTCAAAAATATAGGTATTTAAATAATAGCAATAATAAAAGGAAATTATAAAAAAATTATTATAAATTTAAATCTACATAGCTAATGAAAACCTACCCCTATGCTTATTTAGCTTCATTCACTATTTTCTAAATACGGCCGCCCACTGTTTTCCAAAAACCCTCGTGGGGATCCTTTTGTTTTTTCCTCCCATATCTCTTTTGGTTTCCTCCTCCTATGCCTTGTATATATGGTAAATCTATGCTCACATCAAGTCATTCCCTCCTCGTTTGTCCTTTTCTTCACTCTAGCCTCATGGTTATATTCATGTATGATAATAGTCATTCTTCTCTTTCGTCCTTTTCCTTTACATTGGCTTTCACCAAATATGTACATATATAATATAAAAATGTTAGCTTCCTCCATGGCATTCCTAGTCACGTGATACTAAGGCATCTTATTGCATCATCTCTATTTTGGATAATAAAAATCTAGATTAACACTTAAATATCTAATTTGAAAAACTTGTATAATTAAAGTTTAGCATGAACTCAAACTAATCTAACAAATTAATTAAACTATAAAGGGACATGGGTTGAGAAATTTTAGAGTCCTTTGAGATAGTTTTAAGGTCCTTGAGTAATTTTAGAATAACTTTAAGATAGTTGTAGCATAATTTTCAAACACTTTAAATTTTCTATTAATATTTTTATATGTATGTGATTTCGGTAGACTCTCACCGAGAACTCTTCTTGCTTGGTTTTGCTGTGTGGCTGCTTGTTAGCTCAAGAAAAACAAGTAACTTGGGGTTTTTTGGTATGTGTGTAAGCTCTGTGTTTGTTAACAAATGTATATAATTGTAAATCTAATTGTGAGAAATTCATATATTACTTAAATCCTATCAAGCATGCTTATAGCTTGGCTATATATTATTGCTGGTATTTCTTTTCAAACATGCTTGTGAATGCAAATTAATTATGTTTGTTTGATGAAAATTGTATATTATTTAAGAGTAATTTATTTCTTTCAAGCATGCTTGTATGCCATTTGAATGTTGTATATGCACGACATGCATTGGGGGATGGGTTAATGAGGAGATGATGATGTTGATGTATATACGACTTAGATGACCACATGGTTCACCTCCACTGTGTGCACAATGGTTGGCCTTTTTCAAAGTCATGTTCCTCAATACTTACTTGGCTGGGTTTATAAAGGGGGAATGTGGGACAGTAACACCTCCTGGTTGGGGTTTTTTTAAAGAGGAGAGTCATAATCTGGGCTTGAACTCTGTACCTTTGGCTGGGTATATCTCAAACATTGGAGAAGCTTGGTTAGTCCAACATGCAAGCTAGACCGTATTTAAGCCTATGATTCTAGTCAACGAAATAAGGATGGACAGAGTAACAAGGGAGATTATTGGTATTGCATATTGACATGTTATAAGCTATATTCTATGAAATTATTATGTTATAATTGAATAATTCTTATGCACTCACTTGTATATTAGTTGTATAATCGTGTAGTTATAATTTGTGCATGTATGGTTAAACTCTAAGTTACTGAGACGTTAGTGCTCACCCCTCTCTTTAACACTCTAGGTAAGCTTAGCGAAGCAAAAGGGAAGCGTTTGGAAGCTTGGGGTTTAGCTTGAGTAAGCTTTAAATCTCATTTTAGTTTGTAAAATAATCATTTGCTAATATATGATCCATTTGTCATTTGAGTAGAGTTTTGAAATTATTCACTGTTTATTGATTACTATAAATGGTATTGTTAGTTGAGGCCCAAGGCCTTAGAAGTTGCTTAATGAATTTATTTAGAGTAAATATTTTAATTAAATTCTAAGTATCAAGATATTTATTAAGGTGAACATTTGAATATTTATGTTAGGATGTGACACGCATGTCTGCAGGCTTTTGTTGAATGGAATGTTTACTTTTTTGTTTCTTTTTATCTACCATGATAGACTCTTTTCTACCATAATAAAGTATTATTTATGATTTTAAATAGTAAGTGAAAACTTTTATAATCTTCATAGCCCTTTTAACTAGTTTAATCATTTTTACCAAGGTCAAAATTTTAAATATCTATTTAGTAAATAAAATTTTTGTAACCATGGTAGTTTCTTAAAATATAGATTAACTTTTTTTTTTATTGTGACCATCTTTTCAAAATAAATATGAGAATTGACTTTAAATCTTTATATCATAGTAATTATTTTTATTAATTTAAATCTTTTTATTACCGTGGTATTTGATTAAATTTTTGTTTATATATAAAGTTAGGATGTTACATATATCGTTCAAATTTTAAGAGAATTGTGTGTAATTTAACCTTTTTTTTTCATACTCTCCACCGATATTATTTATAGTCACTTCTAGCATTTTTAAGATTTAACTAAAAAATTTAAATCTCATTAATTGTCTAAAAGTTCACAAGTTTTTTAATTTTACCCATGCTGAATATATATATATATATATATATTAAAAATAAAATACTTTAGTATTCAATAACGTTTTCAATATTTAATAAAAAAATAAAAATAGATACAATAATTATTAAGGTGTCATATAAATAGAATCAAATCAAAAACTTCTTCATTGTCCTGTAAATAGGACCTGAAATATTCCTTGCTCACTTTTAATCGAGGGACAATAAAACTTTTATCTCTAAAATTTATTTTAGCTATGGACCTAATATTTAAAATTAATTTTTATCAAGTTCCTGAAAATTCAAAATCACGTGTACTTAGTTTTTTACTTGAGGAAAATATAATATTATAAAGACTAATTTTGTATGATTATAAAATTTGATTGAGAAAAATTAGATTTCTAAAATTAATTTGGGAAAATGATAATAAAATGCCTTGACTTATATAAATAATAATTTAATCTCTTAAAATATCATAATTTCATTGAAGTTCATAAAAATCTTTGTATCAATAAATTTTAAATTGAAAATATAATTTTACCATTATTAACAGGTTGTAATTTCTTGTTCAATAATTATAATTATTTGAATAAAAATTATTATTCTTTAAATAAAAATTATGATTAGAGCTTGTTATTTTGAGAACTTGTTTGTCAATAATAAAAATTACATTTGATCAATGTGATTTTTTATTCAACTTCTACGATTTACAAGATAAAATTTTTTATTTTTTAGGTAAAAGTTGTAAATGAAACTTGTTATTTTGAGAACTTATTTTTTCAATAACAAAAATTATATTTGACAAGTTATGATTTTTGATTCAACTTTTATAATTCATAAAATAAAAATTATTATTATTTAAGTAAAAGCTATAATTGGGGTTTACTATTTTCAATAAGAGTAAAGTGATCTTTTTATTTTAAAATTTATTGACACGAAAATCCCTCAAAAATTTGGTTAAATTATGGCATTTCAAGATTAAATTGTTATTTGTATAATTTGAGAGAATTTTATTATTATTTTCCCAATTAATTTTATAATTAAAGTAAAATTGGGGACCAAAATTTTCATTATTTTATTCATATGGATGGATGGATGGATTTTGTTTTCAAATTATTTATTTTTCACTGAGAAAATTAGTGCTTTGCCATTGATTGTTTATTCAATTATCCTAGTTTTTAAATCAGCCCAAACATTATAATACATCATTTGGTAACAATGAATTGGAAAGAGAATTGGAAGTGAAACTCATGAGTTAGTGTGTTTGGTTAACATGAATTGGATTTTCTAACCAAGTTCCTCGCTCACTTCCTTTCCCATTACCCTTTTTTACCCTTAATCTCAACCATGTCATGTTTGCACCTTAAACTCTATTTAATTCAAGAAGAGGGGATGGAGGGAAAGGGAGGTGAGGGGAGGGGAGGGGGGCTCCCCCCAATTTGGGGGTGGAGGTTTTGGAGGGGAGGGAAGGGGAAATTTTAAAAATTTTCCCTCCCCTCTATCTAACCAAACAAGGGGAGGGGAAGGGCTCCCCTCCCCTCCCCTTCTTTGGTAAGGTGGAGGGGGAGGGGAAATTTTAAAATTTTCCATCTCCTTCCCTTTCTCCCAACCAAACAATACCTTAAACAAACTCCTTATAGAA